AAAGAAATACTGGCCAGGATGTGGAGAAATTGGAATGCTTATACGTTGCTGGTGGGAACATCACTAAGATAGGAATTTTGGCACTTTGATCCTCAGTTTTCACCATAAGAAGAGATAAAAATCAAGAAATAAACTGCAGGGAAACAAAGACACTCCAAAAATGACTCATGAATTACTCCTGGACATACACCATGTCGACATCAATGATTACAAACATTCTTGTAATGTGTAATCTCTTCATGTTCTCTACTTTCAAACCCTTAATCCTGAGGGTTTCTAATAAAATCCTGGATATCACTAGCAATTAAGTAACAGCAGCAGAGTGTTTTCTTATTTATGTGAATAGCAATGACCATTTCTACCACCCTGTTGCATCTGGGTGGCTGAGTCACTTGGCAGGCACCTTCCAAATACATGGGGTGGTGGTTCTGAATAGCTTTTTCCCATGGTTTAATTTGGGTTTGCCCTCGGGCAATAACAATCCCCAGAGTACCCTTGAATATTAACAACACTGGCAGGTTTACTGGTCACAAAGAAGTTGTTTTTTTGTTTTTTTTTTTTTTTTTTGCTTTGCTTTGTTTTTTGTGGAACTGGGGATTGAATCCAGGGGCTTGAACATGCTAGGCAAATGCTCTACCACTGAGTTACACCCCCAACCCACAAACAGGTTTTAAATAGGGAAGAGCTGCTATTTCTCCCACATTGCCAACAAAGAGCATTTTCCTCACTTGTCATCCATTCTTCAGCCTCATGCTCTGTACGCAGGGAGAATTCATAGGGATGAATGCAATGTTAGAATAAAAATGTTTAAACAGGTCCATTTATCTGCAGGCTTTCTGTTTTAGAATTGCTGACAGAGGAAAAGAGGAAAAGAATGGTTATCATCTCCCATCCCGGTTGTGGGGTTTGGTTCAAGGTCACACACAGGCTTGAGTTTCAAACACGACTCAAGAAACCAACAGGAGCAAGATTGTTTTGCCCCTGCTATAACTGTGTCACTGTTCTACAAAGATCACTACACACTACAGGCAGTTCCCAATTCACGAAAGGATTATGCTTCTAAATTTACTTAAAGTTTTTAAAACTGGCAACATACTTTTCTTCAAAAGATATAATTGTTAAAATCGAAGCATAATATGTGTATAGTAAAGGCACTCATTTTAAGCATTTTATGATTTTTTACGTATGTATGTATGCATGTTTAACCAACCAAATCAAGGTACAACACCCAGAAATCTCCTTTATGTCCCTTCCCAGCCAATACTCATCTCAGAGAAATTTTATTCTCACTGATTAGATTTTTAAATAACTTTTTTAGTAATATATAATAGACATGACAGACATATGTAAAACACCTAAAGTGTACACATCTCAAGGGTAGCGAGCGTTCAATAACTATTTAAATATGTATATTTTCAGTTCGATCCCCAGCACCACTAAATAAATAAATAAATGAATAAATACACTCACGGCTATGGTTTGGTGTGGTTTTTCCCTGCAAAATTTGTGTACTCAGTGTGGCAGTGTTGAGGTGGTAGAACCTTTAAGAGGTGGGGCCTACAGCAAGGTGGTTGGGTTATGGGGCTTTGCTCTTGGAAAGGATTAATGCTAATCTCCACAAGTGATTTAGTTCTTGTAAGAATAGCTTGCTATAAAAAGAGTTCACCCCATGTGCTAAGTCTCTTTTCACATGGGTCTCACTTTCTACTTCTCTACTATGATGGGAGGCTGCCAGAGGGCATCTCATCAGGATCCCAGTACCATGCTGATGAACTTTCCAGCCACCAGAACCTTGAGCTAAATAAACCACTTTACTTATAAAGTTCCAGCCTCAGGTATTTTGTTATAGAAATACAAAATGGACTATTATTGGTGATACTACCATCTAGAGCTGCACACAAAACATTTTCAAACCTCATGTCCCTTCCCAGTTTAGTCTTACTCTCCTAAAGTAGCCTCTATTCTGACAAATCACTTTAATTTTGTCTGCTTTGAAGCTTTACAAAAAAGGAACTGTGTCGAATGCACTCATCTGGTTTTTGTTCAGACAAAATATTGTCATATTTTAGAATTTGTCATTTACATATATATGTGTGTGTATGTGTGTGTGTGTGTGTGTATATATATATATATATATATATATATATAATTTTTTTTTTGGTGGTACTGGAGATTGAACCCAGTGGTACTCTGAGTTACATCCCAAATTTATTTTCTTTTTTGAGACAGGGTCTTGTTAAGTGACTGAGGTTAGCATAGAACTTGCAATCCTCTTGCCTCAGCCTATCAAGTAGCTGAGACTGCCAGCATGTACCATCATACCTAGCTGATAGCAATAAATAGAGAATTTAAAAATGATTATATGTATGGAAATTACCAGGGAGTGGAATTTATAGTGGTAGACATCTTTATTTTCTATTTTCCAAGTTTTTTTTTTTTTTTGGTATTGCAAAGCATTTTTTTTTCTCTTTTTTTTTAAATTTTTTATTGTGGGTTGTTCAAAACATTACAAATTTCTTGACATATCATATTCCACACTTTGATTCAAGTGGGTTATGAACTCCCACCTTCACCCCATACACAGATTGCAGAATCACATCAGTTACACATCCATTGATTTACATATTGCCATACTAGTGTCTGTTGTGCTCCGCTGCCTTTCCCATCCTCCCCCCTCCCCCCTCCTATTTTCCAAGTTTTTAGAGTCATTAGATTTTATTTAAAAAACTTTTTGTACAATTTTTTTTCTTTCCAGTGCTGGGGATCAAATCCAGGTCTTATGCATGCTAGGTAAACTCTCTATATCCCCCAGCCCAATGATAGTATAAACATTTTTGAGACAGCATTTTGCTACGTTGCCCAGGTTAGCCTGGAACTCCTGGGTTCAAGCAATCCTCCTACCTCAACTTCTCAGGTAGCTGGGATTATAGGTGCTTGCTACTGCACACAGGTCTATGTTATGTATCTTTTGAACTTTGGTGCATCTCAACATTAGGATCGCTACACAAACTTTCTAGAAATGCACGTAACAACAATACTCACTTCATTATCAACCCTTAAGATCTGTTTTTTTGTTTTTGGTACTGGGGATTGAACTCAGGGACACTCAACCACTGAGCCACATCTCCAGCCCTATTTTATATTTGAAACAGAGACAGGGTTTCACTGAGTTGTTTAGCACCTTGCTTTTGCTGAGGCTGGCTTTGAACTCTCAATCCTCCTGCCTCAGCCTCCCAAGCTGCTGGGATTACAGGCATGTGCCACCTCACCTGGCTAAGATCTCTTTTTTTGTTTTCCTCTATTTTTTTTTCTTTTAATATTTTTTTGGTTGTCAATAGACCTCTATTTTATTTGTTTATATGTGGTGCTAAAGATTGAACCCAGGGCCTCACACATGCTAGGCTAGCACTACCATGAGCCACAACCCCAGCCCTAAGATCTCTGTTTTGTTAATTACTACATTTTCAATGCTAAAACAGCATCTGGGGCTGGGGTGTGGCTCAGTGGTAGTGCTTGCCCAGAGTGTGCAAGGCCCTGGCTTTGATCACCAACACCACAAAACAAAATAAAAATCACTTAAACAACGTCTGGCACAATGAAATATATGAACCATAACTGGGTGAGTGAAGAATACTATTTTCAAGTTTTAGATACACTGATATAGCCTCATATTGTTTCCATTTAAAATGCATGACAGAATTGGATAGAAGGGGAAAAAAATGACAGGGAAGTATTTTTTTCTTCTGAATCCCACAACTTATCAAAAGTGGCTATTATGGGTTCAACTGTGTCCCCTCAAAAAAAGGTATGCCGAAGTCTCTATTACTTCAGAGTGTGACTTTATTTGGAAATATAAACCCTTGTAGATGCAATCAGTTAAGATAAGGCCTCTAATCCAATATAACTGATGTTCTTATAAAATGACAGCTATAAAGACACTGGGAGAAGACCACATGAGATTGGAGAATTGGAGAGATGCATCTACCAGCCAAGTAATGTTAAAGACTGCCAGAGGCAAGAAAGGGCATGGAAGGATTACCTTGCAGGTTTTAGGGGGAGCATAGCTTTGTGTACACCTTGACCTCACTCAGACTTCTGGCCTGCAGAACTGAGACAACAAACTTCTGTTGTTTTAAGCCACTTAGTTTGTGGTACTTTGTTAAGTCCACCCTAGGAAACCAATACAGTGGCCTTGACTTTGAATTTTGTAAATATTGGGGCATGGGGAAAAGGCCAATCACCCGAATGTCATAGCCTGTGAGTTTTCAATGATTTTCCGGTTTGTTTCTTTTTTTCTGATTGGTGAAAATATTTTTAAGAACGTGTACAGTGAAAACAGGAATTCAAGTAAAGCAAACAATAAAACCACACAGAGTGTGGAGACTTCTCAGAAAACTTAGAATGGAACAACATTTGACCCAGTTATCTCACTACTCACTGTATACCCAAGACTTAACATCAGCATACTATAATGACACAGCCACATCATTGTTTGTAGCAGCTCAATTCACAATAGCTAAGCTATGGAACCAACCTAGGTACCCTTAAACAGATGAATGGATAAAGAAAATGTGGTATATATACACAATGAAATACTTTTCAGCCACAAAGAAGAATAAAATTATGGCATTTGCTGGTAAATGGACGGAAATGGAGAATATCATGCTTAGTGAAATAAGCCAATCCCAAAAAACCAAAGGCTGAATATTTTCTCTGTTATGCGGCTGCTACCGCACAGTAAGGGGTGATAGAGGGAAGAATAGAAGTTCATGGAATTACACAAAGGGGAATGAAGGGAAGGGAGGGAGGATGAGACTAGGATAGACAGTAGAATGAATCAGACATAATTTTCCTATGTTCATGTATGAATACACGACCAAGGTAACCCCACATGACCCCAAGAATGCAAAGTTATACTCCATGTATGTTACATGTTAAAGTATACTCTACTGTCACTTATTTCAAAAAAGAACAAATACAAAATAAAGAACACAAAAATATAACAGGTAATTGAAATTTTAATATACCTAGTTATTAATGTAAAAAATTTTAAAAATTAGTGTTATAGCATTTATTTCGAAGATTAACACAATTGTAAAATAAAGTTTCACAAAGTCGAATTTCCTTAACATTTAGTTTCAATATTAATCTAATCATTTACAGTATACCAAAATGGTAATATTTTACTTTTTTTAAATAAAAGCACTGAAACTCTTCTTAAAGTAGAATGCTAATGTGAGGCCCCAGAACATGACACAGAAGGCGAGGTTGCTCTAGTCAGAGGCTCTCCTGGTCTCACACTTCCCTAGGTGTTACCTCTTCAGAAACAGCACAGCCTAAGCATTCTGGGAACTAAGGAATGAAACATTAACAATAAACACTAGAACAAGCAATATAATATCAGGGGACATTCGGATGGATGTCTAAGGGGATGTAAGGGGAACAACATTCACAGAGTCCTGCTGCTCCACGTGTACAGGAAAGCCTGGGCTGTGGGGACATGGAGTCGTGCAGAGTGACATTGATTGAAGACAGGGAGGCTGAGGTGGACCCCGATGGGCCACAGAACCATGGAGAAGCATCTGCCTAAGTTCATGTGTGGATAAGGGTTAACAGGACAAAAAGAAAACCATGAGACATGTGGCCTTTAGTCAGTTGGCTGGGTTTGCTCACCATGGACCTCTTCTTGAGACTCAGTCTATGAAGTTTATTCACTTCACAAACACTCCTACAGAGTTCACAACCCTAATGTAGTGCTTATTGTCAAGAGGCTCCTTCTAAACCCTTTACAACTGTGAATACATTTAATCCTCATTACCAATCTATGAGGTAGGTACTATTTTAGTCTCATTTTACAGAAGAGGAAACAAGTACAGAGAGGTCAAGCAACTTGCCCCAAATCACAGAGCCTGATAATGTCAATCTGGGAATCAACTCTCTTTCAAGGGAAAAAATGACACCTGTGAAAAGCTATCATCCATTTTTCCTTAGGAAGAACCTTTTAAGAATTTCTCTTAGGAAATTTGTCCTAGAAAAAATATAGGAACCTGCCTGAGTATAGGAAAAAGCAGCACCAGGAGGAGAGTCTACTTGCTCATCACACAACAAAGATATGATCTCTAAGTTACAATACTTTTTTTTTTTTTTTTGGTACCAGGGATTGAACTCAGGGGCACTCGACCACTGAGCCACATCCCCAGCCCTATTTTGAATTTCATTTAGAGACAGGGTCCCACTGAGTTGCTTAGGGTCTCACAGTTGCTGAAGCTGGCTTTGAAAACTAGCGATTTTCTTGTCTCAGCCTCACAAGCCGTTGGGATTATAGGCGTGCACTACCATGCCTGGCTCTACAACATATTTTAATGACATAAACAAATATGGAACTGTACACAGATGAATACAGGATTTCTCCCATCTCAGTGAAGGCCCTTAGTAGATTTGATTTTTCCTCCCAGTACTGGGGAGTGAACCCAGGGTCTCTCTCACTGAGCTACATCCCCAGATCTTTTTTTAATTTTAGTTTTGAGACAGGGTCTTAAGACATTGCCCAAGTTGGCTTTGAACTTAAAAATCATCCTGCCTCAGTCTCCCAATGAGCTGAAACTGTTCTGAAATGTTTGAGCAAATCATACTGATTAACATTGCATGCCAGTTAGGCCAATGAGGATCAGATTGAAGAGGCACTTTCTTCTCTACCACAGAGACTAGCATAAAAAAAGCAGTAAATAAATAGCAAATTTGTTATAAAAAAGTTGTTTCAGATAAGGTTTAAGAATAACCATTTATATCCCAATTCATTACTTTATCATATTCCTGAATTCTTTGCTTTATGTGAGAGAGTTTATTCTTGAGGTATTCACAGCGTTCTTTTTTTTCCAGAAATGAAGGATCCTATAAAAGAAACATAGCTATTATTTTAGCATTTGGCTTTCTCAGCAATAAACACAAAAATCCATTATCCCAGAAAATGGTCCTACACAGAATAACTTGCAGAAGATTTTTAAACCTCCCTAATCAGAACAGCAGTTAAGTTCTTACTTAAAAAAAAAAAAATAGACTGTGTTTAATTAAAGCCACTTCAATTTTATAGCAATATCAAGTGGGAAGTATAAAGAGCTGAGGCAGCTTCAATAATTTGAAGTATAATAAAAAGTAATTAATACGTATAGGAAAGATTAATAAGGTCTTTCCAGTTTCTAATTGATTTATTAGATTAAGTAAAGGGTGGACATAAAAAGATGTAAAATAATCATTTTGAAGAACATGTGGGTGGTAAAGAGTTACAGGTCAGTCCCTACTTTCCTAAGCTGTGAAACTAACAGGGCAGAATGTATTCAGGCCTGGGATTACAAGAAAACACCTTCTGCAGCACCCATAGTACCTAACAAGTAATGTCTTAAGACATATAAAAATGAAATACAGCAAACTCCCTCTCTCTATGTATGTGTGTATATACATATCTATAATCTCCATATATCTTTATCTCTATAATCTACAATCAGAAAAATTAAAAATTAAAAATAAAACTCTGATAAAGCTTAATTTATAAATTAGATACTAACAACAACTTATAAAACAGAACAACTATAACAACATGCTGTAGTAAAATTGCCACCATCTCTACTCTTGTGCTCTAGGTCATTATTAAGAAATCTTATTACTTTAATACAATTATATGGTATCTTGACAGTCAATCTGATAATTGGGAAGTTCCTAAGCAACTTGGGTGGTGAGTACAATGTGGATGTGCTGGACAAAGGGATGATTCACAACCAGGGCAAGCTGGAGAGAGAGTGAGATTTTATCAGTCTACTTGGAATGGTGCACAATTTAAAACTTACTAATTGTTTATTTCTGGCATTTTTCTATTTAATTTTTTGGGAATATGGTTGACTGCAGTTAAAACCATGGATAAGGAAGGACTACTGTACTTTAGCAAAAATAATCTAGTTTATCAATTACCACCAGTGTATCCAGGTAAGAATACACTCTGAAGAAGAAAACTGTTTTACTCACATTCTTTTTTTTCTTAAACTCTTCATGGATTCTTGAAATTCTTTCATGTTCCTAAAAATAATATATTGTATATTTGAGTTAAAACATTTGCATTTACTCAAATCATATCTCAGAACACACTGGAAATTAGAAAACAATTTTTGCCTGAAATTATTATGACAATATTCACAGAGAAAATGTTTGAGGGCTTATTATCTGCCAGAGAGGCACTGGGATTCAGGGATGAACAAGACAGAAAGGGTACTGACTGCATAAAACCAGACCCTACTCCTAGTGCCATCTTCTGCCAGCTGTGTGACCCTGGGCAAGCTGTTTATCCCAAGACTTAGTTTCCTGATTGGAAAAGTAGAAATCATAATTGTAAACAGCTCAAAGGGCTGTGAGAAGGTTCACTTATTTGAAATGATGCTTATGAATAATCACATTAGCTATTATTATCATTTTCATCTTCTTTGGAAAGTTCCCTTTCAAGAAACTGGTAGTGCGATTAAGAGATTGAGACTATTTAACTTTTGAAAATAGCTAATATAAGGTTCCTTCTAACTTTATTCTAAGTTTTATATTTACTATAAATACATGTAGTAAATATAAAATGTGTTATGGGGTTGAATCTTCCCAAAGGATATCCCCTTTGGGAACACTAAATGCTCAAAAGGCATTACTAGAGCAATGCTTTCATTTTTTTATGCAAAACTATGCATAGAGGTTACCAGACACAACAAATCTAATAAAAAGTGTAATAATTTATAGTCCTAAAATTTCTCTTGAGACAATTTTGTATCACTTACCCATATCCTTTTCCCAGAATATTTTAATTCTTCAATATCTTTTATATTCTGAGACCATGAGTATTGTTTGTGTTTTGATTACTTGCCAACAGTGAAAATGAACTTGGTAACTCAGTGGTAATGTACAATTATAGGTCCTGGGCCAGGATTAAATTAGCTTCCAGGGTTGGGGAGCTGTACTGGAGATGCAGGAAGAGACGAGAGTGGTAAAACTCACTCTAACCTGCCACAGACACTGAATTCATGAGCTGGTGAGGACCAGAGGGATTATTTGGAACAATATTCCTACTTTACAGTCTCAGAAAAATCTTGTGATTGTTTTATTTTTAAAGGGTGCACAACCAGGTATGTGAGAGAACCTGTGCTTTAATAAGCCCATGGGGTTTTGAAATGCCTCCCAAGCTTCCCTAGGGACCTGGTGGGAAAATGAATGAGCCTTGCAGACTGTTGCCAAGACAAAGCTCAGCCTGTGGTCTATGAAAAGTTAACTTTTCTGATACAATTAATGAATCTACTTTAGATAAGGTCCAGAGAAGACACAGATTATATCCATGAGCCTATCAGTTTTATTACTTTCTTGCTATGTCATATTGAAAATCAGGGGTAATGACTGTTATTAATTATGTAGGCACATCATGGTATGATAGTCTCTCAGCCCCACTCTAACCAGAACCCATGGATCCCCCAACTATAGTCTTATATGCTGGAACTTGGGCATTCCTACAAAGTACACATGCTGAGACACTGGGTTTCTGCTCAAAGGCTACAGTGGCAATCAGGGTTTTCAGGATCATTTCTCTCATTTAGCCTTCTCTTCCCAACTGTGCTGATCCACTATGGTCTGCTTGTTCTTCCTTACATTCCTCTTCTTTGGGTATGAAACGGAAGGGGTCTTAGCCTGTTGCCCAAGCTGGCCTTGAACTCCTGGCTTAATTGGACCCTCCTGCCTCAGCCTTCTGTATAGCTGGGACTACAGGTTTGTACCACCATTTCCAGCTCTTCCTGCGTTCTGATGGCCTTTAAACTTGGTCACTCTTCTCAGACTTGTGAACCTGACTTGTTTTCCAAATGGTACTAACTGATCCTAGATTTGCTAGATTTCTCCTGCTTCATGGTACTAGTGTCTCAGCACTACCCCATCACTTCAGAACTGGGAAAAGGTCACTACAGTATACATTTGGTTTAGACAGCTCATAATTATGAGTAATTTAAATATATACTTACAAGTCTATAGTCAAAACAAAGATGCCCAATTAACTGGGGTTCTCAGGTGAAAATTTTATATGTATACATGTGTATATACACATGTGTATATTCACAAGCATAAATGCATTTGACATTTAAAAAATTTTTTAATCATACAAAGCTGGATGCAATGGCATATACTGTAGTTCCAGCAACTTGGGAAGCAGAGGAAGGAGAATAACAAGTTCAAGGCCAGTCTTATCAATTTAGGAAGGTCCTAAGCAACTTAGTGAGAATCTGTCTCAAAATTTAAAAAGAGCCTGGGGATATAGCTCAGTGGTAAAATGTCCCTGGGTTCAATCCTTAATACCATAAAAAAATTTAAGCAATAGACTATAATATATTTTCTCCATTAAAAAAAAAACACAAATGTGCTCAGCAGCATTATTCATAATAGTTAACAAGTGGAAATGACGGACATAAAGTGTAATATATTGTATCACTGCTTTCTTTTTTTTTGTATTGGGGATTGAACTCAGGAACATCTTACCACTGAGCTATATCCTCAGTTTTTTCTTTTTTCATAGTGGGGATTGAACTCAGGGGCACTAGACCACTGAGCCACACCCCCAGTTTTATTTTGTATTTGATTTAGAGACAAGGTCTCACTGAGTGCTCAGTGGCTCACTTTTGCTAAAGCTGGCTTTGAACTCCATATCCTCCTGTCTCAGCCTCCAGAGCCACTGGGATTATAGGCATGTGCCACTGCTCCTGGCCTTTTTTTCCTCTTTTTTTTTTTTTAGCAGGGCCTCGCTAAATTGTCACTGATTACGAGGTATTCTTGAATCAGAGATATAAAAGGTGCACATTGAAATCCTGGTGTCTTTGGAGGCCTGAGGCAACAGGATCACAAGTTCAAGGCTAACCTCAACAACTTAGTAAGATCCTGTCTTAAAATAAAAAACAAAAGGCTGGGGATGTGGCTCACTGGTAAAGCACCCCTGGGTTCAATCCCTAGTACCAATCAATCAATCAATCAATCAGAAAGCTTCAGTCCCATTGGCCCTCTGCCATAGTCACAGAGATCACTCTGATAGTGTACCTAGTAGCTCGCATCTGTAGCTTCGGATCTGCTCTCTGTGCCCTAAGCCTGGGTTGGAAACCCTTGGTGGCCTGGCAGAGAAATGCACTACATTGGTGGTTCCTTATACCCTTCCTCCCCTCATCTCAATTTGAGTGTGCCTCCCTTCTTTGGGACTGTGAGTGAGTATGTATTTTAGGCACATTTATATTTTACTTATGTAGGCAAATAATTAATAAGTAAATTTAATAAGTAAAGGAAAAGGCATTAACTCATGCAATTTGGATGGCAATTTCTTTTTCTTTGGTGCTGGAGATTAAACCCAAGACCATATACAAAGCACGGACTCTTCCATTGAGCTATATACCCTCATTCCCTTGAATAGTAATATTTTTTTTTTTAAAGAATCTTTTTTTTTTTTTTAGTTTTCGGTGGACACAACATCCCTATTTGTATGTGGTGCTGAGGATCAAACCCGGGCTGCACGCATGCCAGGTGAGCACACTACCGCTTGAGCCACATCCCCAGCCCCGAATGGTAATCTTAACTAGTAACTTTTTGTCTTTTTTTGTGGTAGTGGGAATTGAACCCAAGAGCCTCATGTATGCTATATCACTTAGCTATGCCTCCAGTCAGTTTATTATTTTATTTTAAGGCAGTATCTTGCTAAATTCCCCTGGACGACCTTAACTTGCTGTCTGTCCTCCTGCCTCAGTCTTTGAAGTTGCTAGGACAGGTGTGCACCACTGCACCCAGCTTAACTAGTTATCCTGAAAATTTAAAAAATACTTCCCTAGAAGAGATAGCAGATATAGAGAGTTCCAGATTTTTTTTAAAGTTTTTTTTTTTTTTGAGTTGTAGATAGACACAATACCTTTATTTAACATATTTATTTTAATGTGGTGCTGAGGATCAAACCTAGTACTTCACACATGCTAGGCAAGCACTCTACCACTGAGCCACAACCCCAGCCCAGAGAGTTCCAGATTTTTTAAATGGTCAGATTTTATTTCTCCTCTAAACTTCAGTGGTCTTCCTAGGCAGTTGCAGACACTGACCTGTCGGTTTTCTGAATGATGTGGCAACCTGCTCATTACTGCATCTAGCTCATCAAATTTCCTCAAGACAGCTTGAACTTCTGCAGATAGCTCTTTATACTCTGAAAACTGGTCTTGGAACACAGCTTTATAGCGTTCCCGTTCATCATCTGTTTGAATCACAGGGTATTTTCTGAGGAAAAAACAAACCAAAGTTACAACTTTATCACTAAAACAGGATGTAGGGGAAATCAGCTTAGCTTATTCTTCATTGACTATACTGTACCTTCAGTTCAGTATATTATCTCTTGGATACAAACAACTATTCACATAAATGATTTCAAGCAGAGCATTAATGTGGAGACATGCAAAAAAATGAAAGGCCCAAATGGGACTCCTCAACTTCTACCCTGAAGAATTCGGGGTAGATACTCACGCCATGTAGTCAGGCATCACAATGGGTTTAGGAATGTGGCCCGCAGGGATGTGTCCACTCAGCAATTCAGGTTTCATTTTTGTTGTTCTCAAGTCTTTGAAATTAACTTCTGGGTCTCTCTGTCTGTCACTGGTGGCCATTTCACACTGCAGGTTGGGAGAAAAAAAGGAATGATATATACACAGGAGTAGGAAAGCAAAACCACCTGAATTTATTCTTAGGGGACAATAGGGAGAGGGCAGGAAGACAAAAAGTAGAAATCCTAATTAGCATTTCACTTTAGAATTAAATGTTTGTGGTTTTTTGAACATTTTAAATTTTTTAAAATTTTTATGTGGTGCTGAGGATCAAACCAAGTGCTTCACACATGCTAGGCAAGCGCTCTACCACTAAGCCCCAGCCCAAGCCCTAGAATTAAATGTTTTATAGTCACAGGGTGTGCTGACTGTTTTTGTAATAGCTAAGGGGACTCACATTTGGAAAATGGTATATATAATAGGGAAAACATCCTCCAGCTCCAATGTGTATATGTTAAAGGTAGATGATAAAATGAGGCCTTAGAAGTCTTAAGTACTTACTTATTTAGGATTCATAAAGTAATTATAAAATAATTTTTAAAATAGTTCAAAATAAGAAATTCAGCTGGGTGCAGAAGTGTGCTGGGAGCCATTAGCCAAGTAGGTATGACAATTTCCTTGCCAGCATACCCCATGTTGCTGACATGTTGCAGTGACATTGAATGTAAGTGACCTTGCTCAAGGACCAAGGCAGATTAGGGTGTTCCCGGTTTTAAGATAATCGTGTTTAGGGCGTTCCCAGTTTAGGTTCCAGGTTTAAGGTTTAAGATTATTCCTGCTGGGAATAGGGCGTATCCTGCTGCCTGAGTTCCCCTTGAGTTCTCACGGGATTCAGACAGTATATTTTGGAGATAGAAGCCCAGTGGAGGTGGATTTGGGAAGAGAACGTGGATTTCCCCAGAACGTGATTGTAGACGGCTGGTGTGAGTTAGGGAATAAAGAGTTGCTGTTTGAATCTACAAGCTGTGTGGTGGCTCGTGATTGTGTGCCCAGCCAGACTGTGGCATTTGTGCCCAGCCAGACTGTGGCATTTGGTGGCCCGTATGGGGAACTTCTGAAGATTAGAGGTAAGTGAAATTTCTCACCCTTGAGGAAGAGAGAAAGAATGGGTGAACATTTCAAAAAACAATGTGTTATTGTTTTGATTTATTTTGTTTTTATTTCAAGTTGCCTGTTCCTAGAACTTTCTCAGGCAAACTGGGGAAAATGGTTGACTCAAGGTTTGAAGTTGTTCGCCTCCGAGCAAGATAAATTGTTAGAGGAAGGAGGCGCCCCAGTGAGACCAAGAACAATTAGGGCATATGTTGATACAATACAAAAATGTAGCCCATGGCTTTTTAAAGATGAGTTATTAAGTATATTAATGAGACCATCATGGTATCCTGTAGAAGGATTTTTCTTCAACAAGAAAGAGATGGCTAGTTCTGTTTGCTACACTTGTCTAAGATCTTGGTTTCTACAAAGTTCTGATTAATTTACAAAGCTAAAATGTTGAAACATCAACCACTCTTTACTTATTAAGTTACATAAGGTAATATATTTAAGCATGTGTGTTTTCATAAATTGGTGAATGGAAAAAAGGTTTAATATTGCTTTGGTCTGTGTCTTTGCTAAAACAAGGTTACTAAGAGTTAAGATTCTATCATGTGTAATTTATATACAAAGAGTATAAGAAGTTTCAGTTGGGTTTCAATTATAGTATTATAGTATCATAAAAAACATGAAAGTCTTTCATCTTATTAAAGTGGAGTAATTTGTCTAAATCAGAAATTTTATAAGAGTTGTTTCAGAATGTAAATTTATAAAAAGGGTTAACAGTTAAAAAAGAGATATAAAAAGATTCAAGATGTGGGAATATATTTTAATATAAAAGGTTAAAGGAAAAAGAAATGATTCTAGATGATATAATCTGTGTGGTAAAGTAAAAAGTTGTAAAATGACATTTAAAAAGAATTTGAGGAAACTAGACTTAATTTAAAAGCTTGAGAAAGGAAAAAAGAAGAAAAAGGTATTTGTACATGGCAGATTGAGACAAAGCTTCTCAATGGAGTTTAAAAAAAAGCCTTTGGTTGAAGGGCAGCCATGTAAACTAACATTAAAGCGATTTAAACAGAATCTAAGCCTCGTTTAAAAGAGTGAAGCTGTAGGTGGTGAAAAAGTACATTTAAAAGTACAGTATAGATGATAATTAAAAGGCTTTAAAAGGTTAAATTGAAGGTGGTTAAAATGCCTTCATGATGGAGGAAAGAAGCTTAATCTTAAAGGCATTACTTTAAAAAAATGGGAAGATAATAGGATAAAAGATATTTAGATAAAGAAGATTAAAAATTTAAAGTGAAAAACTTTAAAGACAGAAGTATAGAAAGTTAAAAAGAAAAAAGATAAAGAAGATGTAGAAAGATAAAAAAAATGTAGGAAGACAAGAATTTTAAACCCACAAAATAGGAAAAAAAAAAACTAGGAGGAAAAAAAAAGCAACTAAGGGTGAATGTACTAACCTTAAAGGAAAACTAGAAGATGATCTTTAAGGGGTATATATGCCCCAAAGATAAACTTAAAATAACCCTTTTTACACTAAACTTTTTAAATTTGGATTCATAAGGACTTAGTGCTGCGGAAAGGCATATGTATCCAAAAAATGTACATAAGCCTAAAGTACTTTGGAAAGATATTCTAACAGGACAATGGAAAGGTCCTGACCCAGTGATTGTCTGGAGTCGGGGGTCTGTTTGTGTTTTTCCACAGGGAGAACAGCAGCCCATTTGGATTCCAGAGAGATTAACTAAAACAGTTTCTACAGATCGAAAAGAAGATGATTTGACTCAAATCCATAACAGCTGATATCCAGAACTCCAGCTTGGCCATTCTTACATCTGCGACAGTGATTAACCAGGATGCTTTTTTCAATAGCTATTTTATTATTGCATTTTTCCACATCATAAGGTTCTATTTTTATTTTTTGAGCTCATACAAACCTAGGTTAATGTTTTTCTGATCAGTTTTATTTTTTGACTGTGGAGTTTTTAAACATTGCAATGGAGATTTCACCTAGGTAAAGCTACAAGGCCTTTACTATTTTCTTATGTGTTGTACGTTTGTGTACACTCTTGTGTTTTGTGTTGTATGTCTGTATGTGCGTATGTCCATATTTCTTATATGAGGAGCGCTCATGAAAAAATGGATCCGAATTATTATTTTTTTTATTCACGTGATTTAAATGGTTTAATTTAAATTATGTAAACAGCTGTTAAGGATTGTTTTTAAAGGTGGTTAACAGATCTGTTTGTTTACTAATTTAAATTAGGTAAAAAGCTGTTAAGGATTGTTTTTAAAGTAGGTTAACAGATCTGTTTGTTTACTTTCACCTTTCCTTTTCATTATATTTAATAATTCTTTTCAGGATAATGTCTCTTTAGCATCATTGCCAGAATTCCTATCTCCATCCCAGTGCCGGTGAAGAACTCAACAAGTAATGCTCAAAGAGTCAACTTACTTTGGGAGGAAATGGACATATTGATAGATTCCTCTGCTTTGAACTGCTTGCAGAACTTGCCTGGACTATGTAACTATCGTTTGGTGCAGCGAATTGTGGTAATGCTGGCATATCTTTGCTGATGGTGTCACCAGTGATGCAATTTTTCCCAAGGAGCCGTCAATTGGCTTGGTGTCGTGGCATTTCTGTATCCTCCTCCCTTCTGCTAGTGATGGTCTAAAATTTGGGGGCCAATGGCTTATGCTGGACCGGTAGTCAGTGACGGGTATGATCCAATTGCAATGGTATCAACCTAAGACAGGAGGCTGACGCCTAAAGGTCAGTTTTCCGATGACGGGTAAGAACCATATGTTGAATTGGACAACCTACCAGGCACGGTCCATAAGCCACATTAACCTCACTCCCCCACTGGCACCAAGGCCAAATTTGGGGGCCAACAGAGGTGAGGCAAAGAACCTCACCCCCCCACTGGTGCATAGTCCTATCCACAAGTATGGCTGTATGCTGGACCGGTAGTCAGTGACGGGTATGATTCAATTGCAGTGGTATCAACCTAAGACAGGAGGCTGACGCCTAAAGGTCAGTTTTCCGATGACGGGTAAGAACCATATGTTGAATTGGACAACCTACCAGGCACGGTCCTTAAGCCACATTGCTTGTTGTTTAATTAATCAGAAGGGGGGAGATGCTGGGAGCCATTAGCCAAGTAGGTATGACAATTTCCTTGCCAGCGTACCCCATGTTGCTGACATGTTGCAGTGACATTGAATGTAAGTGACCTTGCTCAAGGACCAAGGCAGATTAGGGTGTTCCCGGTTTTAAGATAATCGTGTTTAGGGCGTTCCCAGTTTAGGTTCCAGGTTTAAGGTTTAAGATTATTCCTGCTGGGAATAGGGCGTATCCTGCTGCCTGAGTTCCCCTTGAGTTCTCACGGGATTCAGACAATATATTTTGGAGATAGAAGCCCAGTGGAGGTGGATTTGGGCAGAGAACGTGGATTTGGGAAGAGAACGTGGATTTCCCCAGAACGTGATTGTAGACGGCTGGTGTGAGTTCGGGAATAAAGAGTTGCTGTTTGAATCTACAAGCTGTGTGGTGGCTCGTGATTGTGTGCCCAGCCAGACTGCGGCAGAAGTGCACACCTGTAATCCAGAATTCTTAGGAGGCTGAGGCAGAAGGATCACATCTTTGATCACCAAACTAAGTGCTTAGTGAGACCCTGTTTCAAAATAAAAAACAAAAAGGGCTGGGGACACAGCTTAGCGGTAAATTGCCCCTGGGTTAAATCCCCAGCATCCCTGGCAGCAAAAAAAACTAGCTACTGAGAAGAAGGAATAGAAATGAGTTATACCATTTTTATTATTTTTAAAAGAGAGCAAAGAAACTCTTTCTGATCTTATGTACTTTAAAAAAAATTAATTAAAAAAAATTTCCTAGTACTGGGGATAAAACCCAGGACACTCTACCCTAAGTTATATATCCAGCCCTCCCACACCCTTTTTTTCATTTTGAGACTAGTTCTTGCTAAATTGCCCAGGCTGGCCTTGAATTTGTAATACTCCTGTCTCAGTCTCCT